ATCTCTCGATCTCTCTATCTCTCTATCTCTCTATCTCTATATCTCTCTATCTCTCTATCTCTCTATCTCTCTATCTCTCTATCTCTCTATCTCTATATCTCTCTATCTCTCTATCTCTCTATCTCTATTTCTCTCTATCTCTCTATCTCTCTATCTCTCTATCTCTCTATCTCTCTTTCTCTCTATCTCTCTATCTCTCTATCTCTATCTCTGTCTCTCTCTCTATCTCTCTATCTCTCTATCTCTCTCTCTATCTCTCTATCTCTCTATCTCTCTATCTCTCTATCTCTCTATCTCTCTATCTCTCTATCTCTCTATCTCTCTATCTCTCTATCTCTCTATCTCTCTATCTCTCTATCTCGCTATCTCTCTATCTCTCTATCTCTCTATCTCTCTATCTCTCTATCTCTCTATCTCTCTATCTCTCTATCTCTGTCTCTCTATCTCTGTATCTCTCTATCTCTCTATCTCTCTATCTCTCTATCTCTCTATCTCTCTATCTCTCTATCTCTTTATCTCTATCTCTCTATCTCTCTATCTCTCTATCTCTCTATCTCTGTATCTCTCTATCTCTCTATCTCTCTATCTCTCTATCTCTCTATCTCTCTATTTCTCTATCTCTCTATCTCTCTATCTCTTAGTCCCTCTGTCTCTCTCTCTATATCTAGCTCTTTATCTCTCTATCTCTCTATTTCTACATCTCTCTATCTCTTTATTTCTCTATCTCTCTATCTCTCCATTTCTCTATCTCTCTCTATCTCTCTATCTCTTTCCAGCCGATCAAACATAATTTTCTATGTAAGACTCGTTTAAATTATCAATGACAGAGTCAATGATAACTACCGCTCTCTTGTGTATTTCTCTCGAGAAACTCAGTGATAAAGCGTTAATAGTTATAAAGAGAGAGAGTTTATCAAAACGGAAATAGTTCAATTGGTTTAATTAATTAAGCGTTAAACGTAATTATTAATTATTAATTTCTTGGCGATTGATACAATTGTTTAGGGACAGTTAAACTATTTTTCTTTCAAATATAGAACCTCGATCTTTGATTTTAATGTATTAATAAAAATAAGATTTTTAAAAAGATTGTTAAAACAGGCTTTTTTACTATATTATTTGAAAAAAAAACCTATTGAATATAATATATAATTTTAATTATTTCTCATTCTAAACGAATCTAAACCTATCGAATATATTTTTATAAATGCAAGGTAATCTTTTATAGGACCTACATGATTAACTTTTCTTCTAATAATAAAAAAAACTCTTAAAAAATAAAAAATATTAATCCTACAAATATTAGAGTAGTCTCCCTAGACAGTTTCTATTCGAATGTATTTTGTGTTGATTTTCATTATGAAATACAGTTGACTTTTTAAACTAATTATATAAGAAAACAATCTATCTCTGTGTATATTTATTTTTAAAAAATATTATTACAATACTTAGAATAGGTGTTTCAGGTTAAATAGCAATTATTAATTTTGTTCTCTTTCTAAATCTTTGGCTATCGGGTTTTTAAATTTAAGATTATGAACACATTGACTTGACGAAAATGATTATATACACTTAAATACATAATAAAATTTTCATGTATTAATAAACCTACACTTTTTTTATGCACACATACAAAAAAAGAATATTTTAGCGGCAGGTACAACGTCAAAAACAAAACAAAAGGAAACTCCTTTATACTGAATAGTTCTACCTAACAACAAAAATGTAAATAAAATACTTAAAAAAACGTTTTTCTTGTGGACTAAAAAGTAGAAAATAAATTTTTCTTTTGTGCTTCCTCGAGCTGTGCAGATTCTTGTGATGACTGACAAAAAACGTGGGTACGTTCACCATCAAATTTCCCGACCCATCTGCCCGACCCACGTATTTTTATTTTCTCCTTTTTAGTCCGTTGCTACACATGAAAAACGTGGTTTTTAAAAAAAGTTTTTTATATAGTTTATTTTCTACTTTATCTAATGACTTGATTAAGTATGACTTGACTAAGTGTTTATAAATACACGGACTAAAAATCTTGAGCGACCAGGATTCGAACCTGGGTTGTCGCGGCCACAACGTGAAGTACTAACCACTATACGATCACGGCCAGCTCGCTCACATCGATTGGGGCCAAAGTAACTGTGTCAATAGGCCTCCAGATCTATAGAGATCTACAGATCCTTTCAGATCTATAGAGCCAGATCCTTTCAGATCTATAGAGCAATCAGAAATGGGCTAATTTTCGATGTCAATTTTAACAACAAACAAACACACACGAAGCTGAGTTAATAAAAACGTGTTAAAATACATAGTCCTCGAGCACACTAGCACATACATATATACATACGAACGTATGTGTGTGTGTAAGTAGGATGTGAGGTAAGCAGACATGCGGGGTGGATAGAAAGCAGTTTGGCAGGAATAACGGCAGGTAGGAAAGTAGGTAAGTAGGCAGCAGCGCAGACAGGTTAGTAGATAGGTAGGTAACTAGGCAAGTAGT